GAAGAAGAAGAAGAAGAAGAAGAAGAAGAAGAAGAAGAAGAAGAAGAAGAAGAAGAAGAAGAAGAAGAAGAAGAAGAAGAAGAAGAAGAAGAAGAAGAAGAAGAAGAAGCAGCTTTTGAGCTAGATGCTATGGTGCAAGGACAAGGAACTTTAGAACATGATGGAGCAGCCTAAATTTTGCCCAGTGATGTGATGTGCAGTCACCACAACCGTTTCCTTCAAGGGGTTATGCCAATAAAACTAAGGCCAGAATTCCTTTCCCAAGGATGTAAAATCTCCCATTTGGAGGAATCAGGCATTGCATCCTCTAAACTTAAACCAATTGTTTAAAAAGGGAGTGTTAGTTGCTGGAGTGGGAAGAAGCGGGAGACAGGCAGGCATGCTTTCCAGAGACCAGGTGGCTCTACCTGAGAAGAAGTGAGCTCGGAAGCCTTTCTTGGACACGGTGTTGTCAGACTTGAACTCAATGCGCATGTTGTTGTACTGGGAGGTGATCACATCGGGCTTCTCTGCTCCACAAAACTTCCCATGGAGCTTGGCTTCAGACGTGAGGCCGCTGCGCACTTCCACAAAGTCATACTTGCACACCTAGTGGGAGAGGCGAAAGGAAATATTTCCCTGGTTTGGGAGAAGGAGAAGAAGGTGGGCAGGAGCGGCCCCAGCCAAGAGTTTGTTCCACAATTTCCCTTTGGATACGTGAGACCATCCTCCCACAAATCTCTGGGAGTCTTTGACAGCACTGCCATTGGTTTAATTCATTCAGAAAAAAAGTTTCCTTATTAGATCAGGGCTGGGCAACTATGGCCATTTACGACCTGCGGGCTTCAACTCCCAGAATTCCCGAGCAGCCATTTAAGTCCACAGTGTTAAAGGGACTGTAGTTGCCCACCTCTGTGGATCATGGAGAATGATTCTCTTTAAAAAAACAACAACTACCTTTTTAGGCCAACATGATACCAACAGCCCCATCTCAACCCACTTCATTAATTCTTCCAAAGTTCCTTTCAAAGCAATTGTTCCCATAGCTACTGGACTAATCAATCATCTGTCCAGAACTAACAATCCATAATGCAGAAACATAGGAGTTCTAGGACGTGTTTGGGTGACTGTCCTGCTATTGCAGAATAATCTAGTTCTTAAATCTTCCTTCTACCTTCAGAAAGCAGTATAAAACCCCAGGGCACTACATCTTCCATGTTGTTTATTTAATGGACATCCCGTCCTCCATCACTGAAAATCAACCGCAGCTCAAGAGTTCCCAGATATCCCTCTGTGCTAACCTAGAAGCTTCTTTCTAAAGGACAACACTGACCTCGTTGCCTTCTGTCTCGAAGAAGTCAAATAGCAGGGATATGCGATACTGGGTGGGTGCCACCAGCTGCCAGATACAGTTCTTGTTGGGTGGATATTCCTTGGGCCATCCAGGACTCGTGATGGAGCCATTCAGTTTGGTGAGGAACCCGCCACAGGCAGCTGCAAAACCAAATATGGAGGCTGAATCAGTCTCATGCCTGGTAGATTATCCACAGTTGTGAATGTCTAATTCCAGGAGTAGTTGAGGGTGATCAGATTTCTTCACTAGGCACCACCAAACTGCCTTTTTTTGGAGCAATGTCTCCAATCCTGGCAACTTTAAGAATTGTGGGCTTCAACTCCAGAATCCCCCAGCCAGGATATCAACTCCCAGAATCCTCTAGACTGAGAAATTCTGGCAATTCAAGTCCACAAGTCTTAAAGGTGCCAAGTTTGGAGATCCCTGGTATTATAATAATAATAATAATAATAATGATGATGATGATGATGATGATGATGATGATGATATAGTTGGAAGGGACCTTGGAGGTCATCAAGTCCAACCCCCTGCTCAGGCAGGAACCCTACACCATTTCAGACAAAGGGCTGTCCAGTCTCTTCTTAAAAACTTCCAGTGTTGGAGCATTCACCACTTCTGGAGGCAGGTGGTTCCACTGGTTAATTGTTCTCACTGTCAGGAAGTTTCTCCTTAGTTCTAAGTTGCTTCTCTCCTTGATCAGTTTCCACCCGTTGCTTCTCGTCCTGCCTTCAGGCGCCTTGGAGAATAGCCTGACTCCCTCTTCTTTGGGGCAGCCCCTGAGATATTGGAACACTGCTATCATGTCCCTCCCCTCGTCCTTCTCTTCGTTAAAATAGACACCCCCAATTCCAGCAACCGTTCCTTATATGCTTTAGCCTCCAGTCCCCTGATCATCTTTGTTGCTCTTCTCTGCACTCTTTCTAGAGTCTCAGCATCTTTTTTACATCGTGGTGACCAAAACTGGATGCAGTATTCCAAGTGTGGCCTTACCAAGGCATTGTAAAGTGGTGTTAACACTTCACATGATCTTGATTCTATCCCTCTGTTAATGCAGCCCAGAACTGTGTTGGCTTTTTTTGGCAGCTGCAGCACATGGCTGGCTCATATTTAAGGGATTGTCCACTAGGACTCCGGGGTCCCTCTCACAGTTGCTACTATTGAGCAAGGTACCCCGCCTGCTGCTTTGGCCACATGAAGTTTGGTGAGCTTTTTCAGGAGGAAAGGCTTTGAAATCAGGCCATGCAGGCTTTCAGGTTTTACTCTAAAAAGGTTCTTCATTAGAAGGTTGATGTAAACATCTTTCTAGCTCAGGGGTCTTCAAACGTGGCCCTTTTATACTTGTGGACTTCAACACCCAGAGTTCCTCAGCCAGGCACGCTGGCTGAGGAATCCTGGGAGTTGAAGTCCACTTTTTCAGGGCCGCCGTACCTTTGAACGGTCACTAAACGGATGACTGTTAAGTGGAGGGCCACCGCTATACATTCTTGGAACCAGAACAGAGGCTTTCTCAAGATGCTCACCTTCACACTTGCGTTTGTCGGGAGCCAACTCGTAGCCAGGCTCGCAGGCACATTTGTAGCTACCCAGAGTATTCACACAACGCTGCTCACAGCCTCCGTTGTTGGGTCTAGAGCACTCATCCACTTCTGGAACGACAAAAGCAGTGGCGTCTCGGTCTATTTCTTTTTGGGCCTAGGCCGTAGGCTAAGACCGTAGCCTCTCTCTAATGCTACGGCGTTCTGCTGGCAACCGAAGCAGGAATAGTCAACTTTTCTTTGTGTTCCATCCCTGTCAGCTAAAGAAGGGTCTACTTTGATGAAGAGAGAGAAAAAGGAGTGAAAGAGGAGGAGGATCAAATCCCCATGGTCTAGGACAGGGGTCTTCAAACTTGGCCCTTTTATGACTTGTGGACTTCAACTCCCAGAATTCCTCAGCCAGGCACGCGTGCCTGGCTGAGGAATTCTGGGAGTTGAGGTCCACAAGTCATAAAAGGGCCAAGTTTGAAGACCCCTGGTCTAGGAAGAAAGATGTATTGTGATTATATGGTCAGCTGTGTGAGACAAGAATCTTATGGAAATGGAAAAGAAGCTGGTTCTAGGAAATGCAGGAAAAGGGTGGTGTACCCAGCTGAGCAAAAAAGGCAACAACAACCATACAACGTTTTTTGTGTTAAGTCTGCCCCCCAGTGGCCCAATACAAACAGTCCCGCGAACAGAAAGATTTGCCTGTTTGCCTACTCCTGCGTTTAACAGAATAACAAAAGTCGGAAGGGACCTTGGAGGTCTTCTAGTTCAACCCCTTTCTCAAGCAGGAGATCCTGTACCATTTCAGACAAATGTTGTCCAGTCTCTTCTTAAAAACCTCTAGTGGATCAACCCACAAGTTCTGGAGACAAATCTTTCCAAATTGTTCTCACTGTCAGGAAGGTTTCTCCTTAGTTCTAGGTTGCTTCTCTCTTTGGTTAGTTTCCATCCGTTGCTTCTTGTCCTGCCTTCATGGGCTTTGGAAAATAGCTTGACTCCCTCTTCTTTGGGGCAGCCCCTGAGATATTGGAAGACTGCTATCATGTCCCCCCTCGTCCTTCTCTTCATTAAACTAGACATACCCAATTCCAGCAGCCTTTCCTTATATGCTTTAGCCTCCAGTCCCCTAATCATCTTTGTTGCTCTTCTCTGCAGTCTTTCTCCATTACATAATCAACCCTTTGCATCAACCCTTTGTCAGATAGGGTTGCCCTCTCCACAATTGTAACGTTATGGTTGTATGGGTGCTGGTCATCCAAAGATTATCCAACCCTGCCTTGAATAATTCAAGCTCTACACCTTACCTTTGAAGTAGTTGACTGCAAAGCCAGCCTTGTTGATGGACCCATCGGACACAAACCTCATCCATAACTTGTTGGAGGTGCTCTTAATATCGTCGGGCCTGTCATAACCACAATACCTTCCAATCACAGGGTCTGACTCTGTACTGCCATCCCGAATCTCCAGATAGTCATAAGCACAACTGTCATGGCGCTCGATCTGTGGAGATATGGAAGAAAAGAGAGGAGGACATGGAAATCTCGATCGACTGCTGATTTTTCTTCTTGAAAATGTTTATCAGCTCTTGGTGGCATCTTAATCTACATCAGATGGACAAAACAGGAAGGGGAAAGGCAGTTGATCAAGAGGGACTACTAGAGTTAAAGTAAGAGAGCTCCAGGAAGATTATGCTTTGTATTTTATGAAGTTAACCTAACTTTTAGGCACGGATAGCAGATCAGTCCTAAGACATCAGATAAATAACATTCTAGCTCAGGGGTCTTCAAACTTGGCAAACATAAGACTTGTGGACTTTGTATCCCAGAATTCCCTAGCCGGCATAGCTGGCTGAGGAATTCTGGGAGATGAAGTCCACAACATTGCCAATTTTGGAGAGCCCTATTCTAGATACTGGATTTCACACTGTTGACTAACTCAGAAAACGGAAATCCCATTCAGGCATTACAATTGAAGCAACCATTTCAAAGGGGTAGGGACAATCCAGAAGGGATTGAGGACCAGTCACAATGTGACGTTAAATGGAGCATGGTATCTAAATGGGCACAGCAGTCCTGGCTCTCAGTTCAGACAGGGGATTCAGAGAAGCCATTTTTAACTGGATGGGACTAGGCCAGGGGTAGGCAACCTTGGCTCTTTTATGACTCGTGGACTTCAACTCCCAGAATTCCTGAGCCAGCCATGCTGAGGGGAAAGGGAGAGGTTTCCAAGCTGAGCCATGCTGGCTCAGGAATTCTGGGAGTTGAAGTCCACGAGTCATGAAGGGGCCAAAGTTTCCCACATGCTGGCTCAGGAATTCTGGGAGTTGAAGTCCAGGAGTCATGAAGGGGCCAAAGTTTCCCTCATGCTGGCTCAGGAATTCTGGGAGTTGAAGCCCACGAGTCATAAAAGAGCCAAGGTTGCCTACCCGATGTAGAGCCAAAAAGGTAGAGCCTTTCTTTCTGTCCACCTCTGCATCCTCTTTACGAGTAGCCCTCAATATACCGCCATTCATTTAGTGACCATTTGAAGTTACAATGGCAGTGGAAAAAGTGACTTACGACCATTTTTTACACTTATGATCCTGGCAGCATCCCCATGTTCACGCGATCAAAATTCAGGTGCTTGACCACTGACTCAGATTTATGACGGTTGCCGTATCCCAGGATCACCTTCTGGGGCTTCCTGACAAGCCAAGTCAACAGGGAAGCCAGATTCATTTTACAACCGTGTTTCTAACTTAACCCCACTGCAGCAATTCACTTAACAACCGTAAAAATGGGGCAAAACTCACTTAATGACTGACTTGCTTAGCAAGGGAAATTTCAGGCTCAATTGTGGTCGTAAGGCAAGGACTACCTGGACCCTACTGCTTCTCTCCAGCTCTTCGTTGTCCTTCCATTTTTAAAAAAAGAGATGTGACTCTCCTTTTCCCTCTCCGCTAAAGCTCTAATTAGAATTAATTTTAGCTTTCCTCCGTTTGTATTTTTTTTTAAAAAAATGCTCATTAATGTATAGACATACCGAATGTTCAGCCAGTTTGGCTGTGAGAATCATTGTGGTCTTGTTTGGCTTAATGAATGGGAAAAACTCAAGCCTGACATTATGGTGTAGTGATCTTAGTACATATGCTAAAATGCTGCAGGAATTCTTCTGATACCTCAAAGGACAGGAAAGTGAGCCCGACGTGGTATCCTTCCGAAACAGTAATCTTCCAAGTGCACAATTTATTGGGCCGATAGTCATCGGGGTAGTTGGGAGACTGGATGTGCCCGTTGTCTTTCTTCATGTCTCCTCCACAGATGGCTGGAAGAAGAATATTTACTGCATTGGTAGCTTTTCCGTGAGAGTTGAAGGCAAATTACATCAAGGGGTCTTTCCTTATTTCATCTAGTCATCTAGTGAGCATCACAATTAGGTGGAAGTTGAATCTAAATCTTCCTGGTCCATGTCCAACTCTTTAGTCACACGGACTATATGAGCAACCATAGAGGCATGAGAAATATATCGGTGACTTCTTTGTAGCCCTACAGAGAAAAGACTTGCCATCAGCTATCCCAGGAGATGTCCATCTGGCTGCCTTAATGGAATGTCACATTAGACCCACAAGTTGAGTTGAGAGGCACCTGTTTTGACCTGTTTTCACAGGGCTGGTAAAAGCAATGAAATTCAGTTCATGAACTGAAGCTTCTTGGATGAGAAGCAAAAGTTTTTCAAGGAAAAAAACCCAAGAAAGTCCAATTGCCTTTCATAAAGCACCCTTGGGACACCAAGCTCAGCGAGCCTCAAGGACCCCACATGTCAACCCAGAGACACTCAAGGACCCCACATGTCAACATGTTCCCTCCCCTATTGGTACCATTAAAGAAACACAGGGAATCAAAAGATCTGGATTAACAGAATAAGAGACCTTGAGGGTCTTCTAATCCAACCTGCTGCTCAAGCAGGAAGCTCTATTATTATTTCAGACAAATTGTTGTCCAATCTCTTCTTAAAAAGCCTCCAGTGTTGGAGCACCCACAGCTTCTAGAGGCAAGTCGTGGATTGGTGGACACCATGGAATTCTGGACTGATGGCAAGTTTAAGGAAGGCATCAATAGTTTAGGAGAACAATATGGAGGAATAGCGGAATGGGTAGCAATGTTTCTTTTAGACAGAAGGTGCTTACGAGGAACAGTTAGAAGGCATTGTGCACCTAATTGTCAATTCCCTTCTAAATGTTATATTTTGACCTTTGTTTCTGTTGTCTGTGCCCCAAATTACTTTGCCTGGACTAAAAAGGAAACGGTTCTACCTTCGTAGACTGCCAAGAAGCCTTTGCCAACCCAGTTGCTGCTGCTACGGAATTCAATCCAGAGGCGGCTGTCGGTGGACAGAATCGAGTCCGGGAGTTTATTTCCACAGAATCTACCTAAAGAAAAAAAAAAACACCCACACACGTTACTGACTTGGGTTTATCATGATTGTTTATTATGTCACGGCAAAGCATTGATTGCAAAATGGCACATATTTTTGTTTTGATCAACTGTCTAACCCAGGGGTAAGCAATCCTGGCCCCTTCATGACTCGTGGACTTCAACTCCCAGAATTCCTGAGCCAGCATGGCTCAGCTTGGAAACCTCTCCCTTTTCCCTCAGCGTGGCTGGCTCAGGAATTCTGGGAGTTGAAGTCCACGAGTCGTAAAAGAGCCAAGGTTGCCTACCCCTGGTCTAATCTCTTCCTCCCCTGTCAAAGTTTCACACAAGTGGGATCTTGGAAACAGGATCGTCTCCCCACCCTGGCAAATGTAAAGGATATTTGCAAACTTTACATGCTTTAATTTGTAAAAAACAAAAAAACATGTGACGCCTCCAAAATGATGACGTTGATGATGTTATCCATAAGGGCCTGGACAAATGAAAGAATAATAATAATAATAATAATAATAATAATAATTTAATTTGTACCCCGCCCTTCTCCTCATAGGACTCAGGGCGGCTAACAGCCTCATAAAAACCACAATACAATAATACAATAATATCTATATTAAAAACCGAATTAAAAGGAAATATTTAAGAAGGCCAATCATAATAAAGGCAGGAAAAAGGAACTGTCTTGATGAAGCATCATGGTTTGGTTGAGAATGCAAGTTTAGAACAACAGTTAAGGCTCAGCAAAAGAAAAAAAAAAGTCTTGATGAAGCATCATAAAAAAGATGGTTTGGTTGCCCAAGTTATACCAACTGAGAATGTAAGTTCGATACAGTTTAGAATAACAGTTAAGGCTCAGCAAAAAAAAAAAAAAAGTTAAAGGAGTAAACCTAGATTAAATGCAGTTTTCAGATCAAGAGAGAACTGCATTTGAATGAGGCACTGAGTGTTGAATGGCTCAGGCATATGAGTCATAGACCAGCTACAGACTTTCAATCTTCTTATCTTATCTAGGTTACCTCAGTCCAGCTGTAAAGGAAGCCAACTTAACTGTCAAAAGTGAAAATAATGAGTATTTAGGGAATGACTGCAGTACAGAGATATGTAAACATTTTTTCCCTCAGACTAGATTTACCTACCTTTATTACTGTATTTCATCAAATGAGGAAGCACTTATGCCTCAAATCCCTACTTATGCTCCCCAAAACTTTTTAAGCCATGAAACAAACAAACAAACAAAAAGAAAAGAAAGAAAAATCACAACTGCAAAGGGGAAGTCAGTCAGTCAATGAACCTGGGAGATGTTTTGATTGTTAAATATGTTCCTCAATGAGATTTGGCCACATGCATGAACGAAGTCAGTCAATGAACCTGGGAAATGTTTTGATTGTTAAATATGTTCCTCAATGAGATTTGGCCACATGCATGACCACCAATACATTCTCACTGATTACCTCGCAGGGGAGCTTTCCTCCAGAATCCGTCTCTCACCTCCACATAGTCATACCAACATAGCCGGCTGCGGTATAGATCCAGGGATGTAAAATTCAGAATGATCTGGAAAGCAAGCAGAAGTCACACCACCCTGAGTAGGAAGTGGGTCCTAAATATTATTATGCCATACTCTATATATTTTCTATTTCTTTCATGAGTTACCATTTTGAGGGATCTAAGCCACCAGAGAAATCAGGAGATCCAGATAGTTCAAATAGGTATAAAGATTGATCGCAAGCTTACACTCTCAACAAGAATCTGAACTACTAACAGTCAAAGCAATTTGGCGGTAGATAAGGAATTCAAGGTAGGATGTGCTTCTTGTGAGTGTGATGGGACCCATGACTGATGGCATTTGACCCCTCCCTCGGGTTCAGCCTGGTTGTCTCTTACACCTTTAACGGTCTGCTTTCCAAGTCCTAAACAGCATTCCTCTTCTATGCCAAAATGTAGTAAGTACAGGTAGTCCTTGACTTACAACTGTAATAGATCCTGCCCATCACAGTCATTGTTGTTGTTAGTTGGGAAGTCGTGTCCGACCCATCGCGACCCCATGGACAACATTACTCCAGGCCTTCCTGTCCTCTACCATCTTCTGGAGTCTATTTAAGCTCACACCTCCTGCTTCAGTGACTCCATCCAGCCACCTCATTCTCTGTCGTCCCCTTCTTCTATTGCCCTCAGTCTTTCCCAGCATTAGGCTCTTCTCCAGGGAGCCCTTCCTTCTCATTAGGTGGCCAAAGTACTTGAGTTTCAACTTCAGGATCTGGCCTTCTAAAGAGTAGTCAGGGTTGATCTCCTCCAGGACTGACCGGTTGGATCGCCTTGCAGTCCAGGGGACTCGCAGGAGTCTTCTCCAGCACCATGGTTCAAAGGCCTCCATTCTTTGGCGCTCAGCCTTTCTTATAGTCCAACTTTCACAGCCATACATTGCAACTGGGAAAACCATGGCCTTGACTATACGCACTTTTGTTGGCAGGGTGATGTCTCTATCACAGTCATAGGTCATGATAATTATATGACCAAATTTTATGACCTTTTTTTTCCCCACAGCAGTCATTAAACAAACCAATGATTTGCTATAGGTGTGTTTTTTGCCCCCAGAAATAATGGTTGGGTTTTGGCAAAAGCATTTCAAAATGCAGTCACATGAGTGACTTATGACTGTTTTTCACACTTACGACCGTTGCAGCATCCCCATGGTCACGTGATCAAAATTCAGACGTTTGGCATCTGACTCTTATTTAGGATGGTTGCAGTGTCCTAAATGGGTCATACGACCTCTTTTTTGTGACCTTCTGACAAGCAAAGTCAACAGGGAAGTCAGATTGACTTAGCTGTGTTACTCACTTAATAACTGTAGCGATTCACTTAAAAACTGTGGCCCGAACGGTTGTTAAATGGGGCAAAATTCAGTTAACAACCATCTAGCTTAGTAACAGAGATGAGGAGCTGAATCCTGGTCGTTAAGTCAAGGACTATGTCTATGTTCTTTCGTATGTGTGGACATTCCTGAGCCAGACAGTTAAGCTGTGCCAAACCAGCAGTCATTTAGACTCCGTAATCTAAAAACGGTCCCAAATAATCGCTAGGCCTGATTCAGAATCGCCTGACGTGCAGACTTGGATGCTTTACCAGAAAGAATACTCTTTCCCAAGCCATCGAAAACAGAGATAATCCAGTTGAATTACATTACAGCATCGCACGAGATAGCAAATATGGCAAAAGTGCCTAAGCGGAGGACATGTTAGTTACTGTCTTCTGTCTTCCTGAAGTACTGACAGAATGCAATATAACATCTGTTATTTCTTCTCCTCGCTCGGATTTTGGAAGGAGGATGTACACATCTTTGTAATGGATGTGGGGGGGGGGAAATATATGAAATATGCTAACGTAGATTTGAACTCTTCTTCCTATGGCAAGTGACTGACAACTTGGCTTTCCAATATTACAATAGGTTTATATTCCAGGATGATGAACTGTCTCCAGCTGCTTCTCTGTTGTTGTTGTTTTCTGTGTTCTCAAAACATGATACCAGAAGCAATATTAAAAATGGATTAAGAAAGGAAGGGATCAGGATTAGGGAATTTGATGTCCTCCATATGTTTTGGGGTAAGTCCCATCATGCCTTGCTATCTGCCATCCTGACTGGGGCTTATGGGAGTTGAAGTGCAAAAAACATCTGGAATACATTAGAATACTTTTCTCCATAAGAGTTTTGGCAAAGAAAAAGAGGAGTGTATATGTCTCAGTTGACAGACCCAGTTTAAACTGTTGTTTAGGTGACCTTAAGTTACACTGGTTCATCTTTTAAATGGCTCTAACTTCAACGAATAAGACTCAGATCCCAACAGCTAATCTTTAATGTGCTTTTTCAAAGTGCTTCGTAACAATACTTTTGTTACTAGCTCACCTATGATTTCTTACTGCTTCTTCTATTCTTTTTTTCTTACTAGAAAAATAATCTATTAAGGAGGAAAAGGTAGAATAGGTTACATGATTTAGCTTTTATAGGTAGCTCTTGACTTAACAACATTTTTAGTGACCGTTCAAAATTACAACGGCACTGAAAAAAGCCACTTATGATCAGTTTTGACACAATCGTTTTTAGCATCCCCCCAGGGGGTCACCTGATCAAAATTCAGACTCTTGGTGACTGACTCACATTTATGACAGTCACAGCATCCCGGGGTCATGTGATCCCTTTCTGAGACCTTCTAAAAAGCGAAGTAAACAAGGAACAACCATGTTACTAATAACTGCAACGATTCGCTTAACAACTCTGGAAAGAAAGGTTGCAAAGTGTGACAAAACACAAAAATGACTTAACAACTGTGTCATTTAGCAATAGAAATGTGGAGCTGAATTGTGATTGTAAGTAAAGGACTACCGTGTTTCCCCGAAAATAAGACCGGGTCTTATATTAATTTTTGCTCCAAAAGACGCATTAGGTCTTATTTTCCAGTTAGGGCTTATATTCGGGGAAATACGGTACTAAACGCGTCCTTCTGGCTGATGACCTTAACTGGGGCTTATTTGGGGGATGGGGCTTATATTATGAGCACCCTGAAAAATCTAGGGCTTATTTTCCGACTGGATCTTATTTCCGGGGAAATACGGTACTTGTAATCGGCATTGCGTGAAATAATGTGGTTGGATGCATTATATAGCATCAACAGAAGACAATAACACTCAAGAGAAAGCATTAGGACAGGAAGGCCAGCATTTTGTAAGATAGTTTGGACGTAAACTAAACCAGCATCTACCTTTTCCCCTGGAGTGACTGATATTCTCCAGATGCAATGCTTGTGTGCGGTATATCCATTGGGAAAGTCAGGCGAGGAGAAATTCCCTTGACTGTCCTGCAGGGTTTCTCCACAAGCTGCAGGAGAAATTGTTTTTTTTTAAAAAAAGGAAACACAAAAATAAATTTAAACAAACAAATAGAGTAATAAAAACTTAGTTAGGACGCTGCCCAAATTTAGGATCCCCTAAGAAACATATTCCTAAGGAAATCCAAGTGATTGTAATTTCAGGAACTGGACGTGCTGTTTTCGGAGTTCAGGCATTGCCAGATCGTCATGGGAAATACTCTTTTCTAGAGTATTTCCTGTTGTACAACTCAGTTCAGTTAGGAAGCTAGCCGTACATTATAACCACGCGGACGAGGCTCTTTTAATCAGGTCTGCAGACAAAACCACTTTCTGCAATTAAAACCCCTGCTAAGGTAACACAATAATTTCCCCTACAAGGAACATACAGCCTTGCAAAAGGCATACCTTATGCAAATAGTTCAGTTTTATCGGTATTAATTTTGCAAGGTGTTTTCGCCTCCTCGGGGACAGGATCAACAAATTATGACTAGCTCTCCTGTCCTCTGGTTTCTGAGATTTCTCCAGGCACGGGCGACATACTTCAATTTCCATCCTATCTTTGCCATTGTGCATTGAGAAAGAAAAGCATGTATTTTCACAACACTGGTTCCTACATCATCCTAGCTAAGATACCTGTGTACAGGGATTACAGAATTACTCTATCCTTCCTCCAATGAACTGCATCCGTTACGCATTTCTTATCTCTCGTTTTGCTCCTAAAACTGGCTCTCATTTGAGATAAGCCCCCCTCAAATCCTCTCCCAAAGTATCTATAGCTTGTTCTGCAGCCGTGAAAGTAACTATGGAAACCCAGCCTGATGCTCTGTTGCCACAGTGACAGAAGTCAAGACTTGAGCACAGTCAATGTAAATCTTACAAGACTCTTCATGTTCTCTTGTGTTCCTGCATTCCTCCTTTTACAGCAAAACACCAGGGGTTCCAGCATCTTCTTAGAAATAGATCCTCTTTCTCTCTCCCTTTTCTTTCCAGACATGCTAGAGCACCAATCTTACCCAGGACTTTAAGGGCTCTACATAGCATGAATGCCGTGGTCCATGATGGCGCCAACCAAGTTCCCATTCCCTGCCAAGTCTCATCTAGACATAGGAGTCAACTCCTTCTGCCTCCCATCATCTCATTATTAGGTTCAATATGTTGTTTGTTTATCAAAGCATAAAATAGAAAAATACAAAGAAAAATGAAAATAAAAGTAAAATAGGGGAGGGCAAGGAGAAGAGAGAAAAGCGTAGGGTAGAAGGAAAAGGGGGGGGGAAGGGTTGACTTCCGACGCCTTTTGGTGCTGTAGAATAAGGTCATAACATGAAACTTCAACTTTTTACTTTTATACAGTAATATATACTAGCCATTTTTATAACGCCAACCCGATCTAGTCAGCGAAACCCAAAATCAAAGTTTCATCTCACTTATTATTAGGGACCAGTATAGTTTTTCTGCTGAGTACCATCTGAAAGGAACATGGCCTTGCTGGACAAGGTTTGATTAGAAGTTGATTTTGTGTGTGTATGCCTTTGACATAGTGTTGATTTCTGATTACAAAAGGTACTAGAGAAGAGTCAATGGAATTCAAGGAGGGCAAGACTTGGATCCCTTGTGGCAACTTAACAATGCCAGACTAATATCTTTCTTAACTCCACCCCCAGACTCTGCCTCTTCTCCTATAAATACGTTCTAGAGATGAAATTTCAACAATGGCTTGGGTCTCCTTTATGACTCCTTTTAAAAAAAGTTGACTAGAGCAGGTCGAAATAATTAATTTATCCTAATTAGAAAACTTGACTTTTAATCTTTAACCCAATCTGAGACAAAGTACTTTTGTAAAGCACTATTTTTTAAAAAAATACTGTTCTGATTATGATTTTCATTGAAATAATGTTATATGGACTTTTAAATGTGAAACCTGTTGATTTCTTAGGAAAACATGTTTCAAATTATATCTTGCTCTCTGGGTGACCTTTGGACAAGAGGGGTTTTTTTTTTTTAATTGTCTTTGAAGGGTTCTTTTGCCCAGGCGATTAGAGAACATTTGGGAATTCTGAGGAATTTCATGTAAGTTCTCACAAATGGGCTTGGGAAATGTCTAAGAGAAACAAGCGTTTGACTCATGCCTCTGACCACATTTCCATGACAAATGGCATATGGGGTGACTGTACATTCTTGGACTTTGAACCAAGATGTGGAAGTATAAAACAATGAACTATGAGTTATTCACTCCTGACATGTCAAAACCAATCCACATTTTCTCGATCAAGACCAAAGCTCAGTTAACAACTGTCTCGCTTAGCAACCAGAAATTTTGGGCTCAGTTGTGGTCAAAGACTACTTGTAGTGCATTGCACATAGCCATCAATGCTCTAATAGGCCCAACTCTAAACTAGCTCTTTCTTTCATCTGCAATTCTTTTTCTCCCTACACATTTTCCTGCACATGTCCCATCCCCTTCCTTATATTTCTTTCCCTCTTCTTCTTCTTCGTATTGGCTCAATCACCCATTCAAAAAAATTTCCTGCAGGAAACACGGCATTCCTTACTAACAAAACAACTCTGTTCTGTTTGTAAACGTCAGTCCTCTCCACGGAAACAGACGCCCAGTAGGGGATGGATGCTGGAAAACGCCAAGCTAGATCGGGTCTTGGGAAACAAGCCGGAAGCAAGAGTTTCACACAATTCTCTGTCTTTGGCTCCTGACTCCTTGCCTTCTGTTCTGACATCTGTTCGATTTCGAGAGCCAAAATTGGTGTGGATTGGACGGTCTCCAACGACTGGGTGAAGGTCTCGGCCGTCCATTCAGCTCCAAAGCCCTGCATTATGTCATGCTTGTATCCATTTGAAAAGCAGGGGGAGAGGTAAGATTGGAACCTTAAGCGAAACCTTTTGTCAAGCAAGAACATCCGATGTAAGATTGTAAGATACAACAGAAGGATGGGAACATTCCGGGTTTAGCTAGCTACACAGGCCAATATCAATAATCTAAAGGAAATGAACCTTCTACCATGGTTAACTCTCCAAAGAGCAGACAGGACACCGTAGTGTACAAATCAAGGTTTAGTCTAAAGGAGAAGAGAGAACTGTGGGGAGACACAATAGCAGACTTCTAAGGGCTGTCAGTAGGGGACACGATGACTCAATGGAAAGCTGACAGCCGGGGTTCAAGACCCAAGCACTGCTTGACGGGAGTGAGCTCCCATTACCTGCTTCAGCTCCTAATCTCCTAGGAGTTCGAAAACATGCAAACGCAAGTAGATAAAAAGATACCACTTTGGTGGGAAGGTTACAGCATTCCCTGCCCCTCGGCGTATAGTCATGCCGGCCACATGACCCCGGAAGTGTCCTCGGATAACGCTGGCTCCCTTGGCTAGGAAACAAAGGTGAGCATCACCTCCCTAGATTCAGTCGCGACTGGAGAGGGGAAATGTTTACTTTTACCCAAAGGGAAGACAAGATGAAAAAGATGCTGAGACTCTAGAAAGAGTACAGAGAAGAGCAACAAAGATGATTAGGGGACTGGAGGCTAAAACATATAAGGAACGGTTGCTAGAATTGGGTATGTCCAGCTTAACGAAGAGAAGGATGAGGGGGGAGATGATAGTAGTGTTCCAATATCTCAGGGGCTGCCCCAAAGAAGAGGGAGTCAAGCTTTTCTCCAAAGCGCCTGAGGGTAGGACAAGAAGCAACGGATGGAAACTAATCAAGGAGAGAAGCAACCTAGAACTAAGGAGGAATTTCCTGACAATGAGAACAATTAATCCGTGGAACAACCTGCCTCCAGAAGCGGTGAATGCTCCAACAGTGGAAGTTTTTAAGAAGAGACTGGACAGCCATTTGTCCGAAATGGTATAGGGTCTCCTGCCTGAGCAGGGGGTTGGACTAGATGACCTCCAAGGTCCCTTCTGAATCTTACTCTCCTTCCTTCCTTCCTTCCTTCCTTCCTTCCTTCCTTCCTTCCTTCCTTCCTTCCTTCCTTCCTTCCTTCCTTCCTTCCTTCTCCAACACTGGAAGTTTTTAAGAAGAGACTGGACAGCCATTTGTCCGAAATGGTGTAGGGTTTCCTGCCTGAGCAGGGGGTGGACTCGATAACCTCCAAGGTCCGTTCCAACTTTATTATTATTATTATTATTATAAAATCACTCAATTTTCCCTTCGCTACTGCATTTTCTAAGAAAAATAAACTATAGAAGAACCGGTGAGATCTCTTGCAAGGAAACTTAAAATTAGCTCGCTAGAAACGTTTAAATTAAAAAAAAAGAACCTCCACCCAGAAGCTCCTTTTTTTGTAACATGCAACCAACAATACTCACCAGGGCACTTGTAGAGCTTGCGTGCCTGAGCAATATCTCCTTTGCTCAGCCGGGTTCTCTGTCCAATGGAAGGCTGCATCCCATTTACATTATATTTGGGAAGGATGGTATCCAGGAAGATGCCCCTGAAAAGACACCACAGGAGAATATTCTCAGCTTTGAGTTGCCTTGCCCAGACATGACCCAAAACTTTGGTTCATAAAATAACTGGTGATTGGAAGCCAACCATCTGGAAAGAAGAGAGGGATTATTTTGCAAGATGATGTGTGATGATAGCTGTCATGACCTTGGACTTACATGCATCCATACTTTCTTATTTATCCCTTTTTCCAGACTTTTTGCACTGGTTTGAGTTTAGACTGGAAAGTTATTCACGCGTGGCCTTAAAGAAACCCCACATTTCAATCAATCTGGTGGTCTTGATATCGCTCATCTACAGGGATTAACACTAATGGAAGGAGGAGCTATATCAAACTTTTGCTCTCAAGGATTTCCAAAGGATTTTGAAATAAGAAAGATAAAGAACGATTAAAGAAATATGAAGAATTTAACCCAAGCATTTCTGTTTATGCACAAGTTGTTCTGAAACTGGAACAATAGTGAAAAACATTATCTAGGCCATATGTCCAATAGCTTTCTCATGACCTACTATCTCTAGAAAATTCTGATGGAGTTCATTCACTGTTGTTGTCTCTTTGGGTGGCAAGAGTAGCAGTAATCTAGTAATCACAGAAATATTAGTAAACCCTTAACTTGTAGACTGTAGAGCACTGGGTTCTGCCAATGTGTTATTAGCAGGGCATTACATTTTTTAAGTGTATATTGCTATGACTGCTCCTTTTCTGCAAATAGAGATGGGAACTTTAATGAAAGCTAGCAGAAAAGGTGGGTGGTGGGATCGTCATTAGCTATTTCTGTAGTAGATCAGTTCCAAGTTGGGTGCATCTAAAAGTTGTGGGCATCCCTCACTTAGGCCTTGATTCCTGTTCTTGGCCACATCAGAACGTCTGCTCATTCATTTCTTCTTCCAGGTTTCCATGTAATTTTTAAACCGATTGTCCTTATGAAGGATTCCAACTTGGCTGCAAGAACATAGGATGAGTTACTAAAAACAGACATGGATGCCCTTGTAATTAGAATGGCACAAGGGCACAAATCCAGGAACCTCACCACAGGAAAGGAATTGCCCACACAAAATCTTGCAAGCCTGAACTGTTTAACCTCTTGCAGCAGTTCTAAAGTAGCTCCAGACTCATCTGACCAGACAAGTCCAGCTGGTTTATTCCAAACATATCTGGTTATGCACAAGTTGACTTAAAACTGGAACAGTTTTTCTTTCCCTTTCAACCCGTAGTTTATGGATGGACACAGAGAAGAGCAACGAAGATGATTAGGGGGTCTGGAGGCTAAAACATATAAGGACCGGTTGCCGGAATTGGGCATATCTAGTTTAATAAAGAGAAGGACGAGGAGGGACATGATAGCAGTGTTCTAATATCTGAGGGGTTGCCACAAAGAAGAGGGAGTCAAGCTATTCTCCAAAGTGCCTGAAGGCAGGACAAGAAGCAACGGGTGGAAACTCATCAAGGAGAGAAGCAACCTAGAACTAAGGAGAAACTTCCTGACAGTTAGAACAATTAACCAGTGGAACAACCTGCCTCCAGAACTTGTGGGTGCTCCAACACTGGAAGTTTTTAAGAAGAGGTTGGACAGCCATTTGTCCGAAATGGTATAGGGTTTCCTGCCTGAGTAGGGGGTTGAACTAGATGACCTCCAAGGTCCCTTCCAACTTTATTATTATTATTAAAAGGGAGTCAAGCTATTCTCCAAACCATCTGAGGGCAGGACAAAAAGCAATGGATGGGAACTAATCAAGGAGATATTGAGCAACCTAGAACTAAGAAATAATTTCCTGACAGTTAGAACAATTAATAAATAAAATAAATAAATCAGTGGAACAACTTGCTTCCAGACGTTGTGGGTGCTCCAACACTGGAGGTTTTTAAGAAGAGGTTGGACAACGATTTGTCTGAAATGGTATAGGGTTTCCTGCCTGAGCAGGGGGTTGGACTAGAAGACCTCCAAAGTCCCTTCCAGTTATTCTATTCTATTCTATTCTATTCTATTCTATTCTATTCTATTCTATTCTATTCTATTCTATTCTACTCTACTCTATTCTACTCTACTCTATTCTACTCTACTCCACTCCACTCCACTCTCCACTCCACTCCATTCTTTCCCCATTGACAGAAACTTTTACCTACTCTGCCTTTTGGAGTCAAGGAGACTATTAACCTCCCTCAGCAATGTACAGGTGATCCTCACTTAACAACTACAACTGGGGATGGCAACTCCATTGTTAAGTGCTGCAACCATTAAGTGAGACTCATGTGAATGCAATGGATCTATGACCTCACATCTGTCTGTTAAGCAAATCTCCTGTGGTTGTTAAGTACATTTGGTCTCATGCTGTGAATGGCAGTAACATTCTATCATGTCTACACAATGCACTGGGCTCTGAACTGAAGGCTTAGAGGACTGGAAATATGTAGAAAAAGGAGGTGAACCATCCAACCAAAAGCACACACATTCTCTACGGAACGGAAGGTTAATAAAGCTTTCTATTTCATAAGGCAACATGAAAAATATTTTGCTTCCTCTGCCTCCTCGTTGGACGTCTCTATTAAAACTATGTCTATGCTTGACACTTTTGGCTGTCTGAATTAAACTGTTTGTTGCCTAGTTGCCTGGATTCTTTTGTCGGGTCTAGGATAACTTTCCACGGCCAAGTCGCCGTGGGACTAATTGCTGTGGGACGATTCAACACTGTAGTAATTGTTTCATTGAGTTACTTTTATTATTGGTGGCCACGTTTTTGTGGAAGCTATTTTAACTCTTGTAATTCTGGATTGATTTTATTTTTATTACTATTTTATTAGTTTGCCCATTCCATCTTTTGCCATAGTCCCTTTTGCAAACCTAAAAATCCACAGTTGTTTTCCCCAACTTATATAAGATGTAAAAATGGAGCTAATAATACTGGGAAAAGGAGAACTTTTGTTAAAATAATAACGTTGTGATTAAGTTCTATCTAAGGCCTATGAAGAATTTATAGCAATCATATTGAGATTATTCCAGATCCCGTAACACAGTGATGGTGAACCTTTTAGAGACTGAGTGCCCAAACTGCAACCCAAAACCCACTTATGCATCGTCGGGTGCTGGGTGGGTGTGGCCCATTGGGTGGGTGTGGCCCATTGGGTGGGCGTGGCTGCGGTGGTAACTGGGTGGGATTAAAAAGTTCAATCAATCAATTCCAACTTTGCAAGATCTTTTTTCCCCGCAAGAAATTGAAATTGACTCATTGATTGAACCTTTTTTTTTTTTTGCACACGGCGGCGGAGGCCTAAAGCGAAAAGGTTTTATAAAACCCAGTTGAAGGCCTAGGACTGGGGCAACGGCACGCGTGCCCACAGAGAGGGCTCTGAGTGCCGCCTCTGGCACCCGTGCCGTAGGTTCGCCACCACTGCCGTAACACTATTGAGTTCCTTTACCACTGAGAAGAAAGAAACGAAGATAAGTTTCCAAGCATTGTGTTCCTCTTTCTTAACCAACGCATAAAGTCTCATTACTTAATCAATGGAATCTTTGTTGTCCACTATTCCCAATTTACAATGGAATGAAGAAGAAAGATTACTTAGGCTATTTTCTCTGGTGACCTACAGTTTCCATCCTTCCGCTGTGAATGATTTTCAGGATTTTTTTTCTCCTGGCCTGGTATAGTTATTGTTACCCTTTCCTCTATTTGGCAAACAATCTAAACTAGCAACTGAAACACATCAATTGAAACACTGAAATTCCCTAGAGAGGAAGAAAGGAAAGTTTGATGAAGGGAGGTTACCATCAACATCACCCAAAGTGCCGTGCGTCATCCTGGATAAACCATTTTTCTTCTTCCTGCTCCTCTCTAAATAACTGTCTAACAAAGACAACGACAGCATCTTAGAGACAATGTCATCAGCGTAGAGAAACAGGCATGAAGATTTCCTGTAACTCTTGGAATCCGAGCCATGAAACAGCTATGTGTCTGTTTGCCAAACCGACAGCTGGGCTTTTAATTTCCTAAGCAAGTTTAAAAACTGCCAGGCTTGTTCTTGGAAGATGCTCACAAAATTGGTGGGATTGAGTAACGCTCCTTCAGAAGAAAGACTGGAAGATCTGGGAACGCAGAGATACAGGTTCTCCAAACAATGCAGCTTGTTGCTGACGCAATTGACAAAAATGGGTTTGTGATGGTGGAAATGAGAAAGACAGACAGAGAAAGGGAGGGAGAAAGGTAATAAATCACTCTGTGTCATGATTGCAAATTTCCACGTCCACTTTGGATCTTCAGCTGATGAAGTTCCAAAGCTGTGGATGTAGAGCAGGGGTAATCAACCTTGGCTCTTTTATGACTCGTGGACTTCAACTCCCAGAATTCCTGAGCCAGCCATGCTGAGGGGAAAGGGAGAGGTTTCCAAGCTGAGCCCTGTTGGCTCAGGAATTCTGGGAGTTGAAGTCCACGAGTCATAAAAGAGCCAAGGTTGACTACCCCTGATGTAGAGGGATAGGGAAGAGAACTTCCAGTTGCACCTAAGATGGCCCCACAGAAAGCAGATCCAGAAGACATGGTGGAGAGAGCCAGTGCCTCCTCGGAATTCCTCTCTGGAACAATCAGGATCACCCACAAGTGCTCCATAAAGAGGCTCCTCATGAGAAGATCATTAGATAGCAGTCCCTGGATAGCAGACCTCTGGGAGCTGGGAAAAGGTCATCTCAATAAGCCTCAATTAAGTGTCTTCAAATGGACATGGAGTTGGCTTCCTTCCTCTCTTAAACACTTTAGCGAATTGCTTGTTAATAGGGTTTATGGATGTTAAGAACCTTCAGAAGAGACACCCAGAGGCATGTCCTCAGTATCCAGGATAATGCAGACAATGCCAGCCCGAACCTGCCTGAGATGCGGAAAATTGCTGAGCAAGAATGAACATCAAGCGAGCCGCACCTTCCCAGCCTGTGGCCATTAATGCTCACACTTAACGTTGCTTGCAAACCCAGCCTCCTCACGGAACAAGGTTGAACAGCCACAAAAAACAACGACGAATCCAGAGACAAGAGGCCGAGGAAGCAACACTGCAGCTGGACAACAAGCGAAGGCATGATATGATGTCTAATGGAGGCAAGATCAGTTTGAGAATCTACGCTCAGCTCTGTTGGCTTTGCTCCTTGAGTTGGCTTATTTATTGATAAGATTACCAGCTTGTCTCCCTTGTAAAACCTGTATGGGGATCTTCCTTCACTTTATCCCCATTGTAGCAACTTGATGAAGTAGGTTAGACCTACAGAGAAAATCTGGCTTAAAATCACTGGAGGATTTCCATGGTTGAGCACAGACTGGAACATGTCTTTTTCTACTCCTAGTCCAGCTCCTTCACCAGTGGACTAGACTAGTCTGGAGCTCAGAGACAGGGACTGGCTCAGAGTCGCCCAGAAACTTCCATGGCTGAGCATACTGAAACCTGGGTCTCCTAAATCCTAGTCCAGGCAACCTTGGCTCTTTTATGACTTGTGGACTTCAACTCCCAGAATTCCTGAACCAGTATGAGGGAAACTTTGGCCCCTTCATGACTCATGGACTTCAACTCCCAGAATTCCTGAGCCAACATGGCTCAGCTTGGAAACCTCTCTCTTTCCCCTCAGCATGGCTGGCTCAGGAATTCTGGGAGTTGAAGTCCACCAGTCATAAAAGAGCCAAGGTTGCCTACCCCTGTCCTAGTCCAACATCTTATTCATTCTATCACCCTAGAAGTCAGATGCAATGTGATGGTAATTAGTCAATTATATCCACAAAGTCTCGACATCCCACAGGTAGCCCTCGAATTATGACCAAACTGGGCCTAAAATTTCTGTTGGGAAGTGAGACAGTTAAGTGAGTTTTGCCCCATTTAAAGACTTTCCTTGCTAGGGTTTTTAAGTGAATCACTGCTGTTAGTTAGCAACATAGTTGTTAAGGTGAATCATGACCCTGGGACACTGCAGCCATCATTAATTCATGCCAGTTGGCAAACGTCCGAATTTTGATCAAGTGACCAATGAGGATGTTGCAACGATTGTTAAGTGCGAAAAATGGTCAAAAGTCACTTTTTTTAGTGCCGTTGTAACTAAGTGAACGATTGTAAGTCGGGGACTAGCTGTCATGAACTACAAGGGGAGAACTCATGGCCTCTGCGTTCAGAGTATTAAATGGTTTTAAGTTTTGCGAAGAGCGGAAGGGTTCGAAAGCCAGCGGATGGAATGCAACAGGCCGAAACCAAACTGTAGCTTTGATTAGATTCTCAGAGAAAGGGTTAACGTTGCATGTATAAGATTACTGACATTCAAACTCTGGAGATTATTTCCTAGAGAACAATCCTCTATTGACTCTGGGAGGAAAGGGCGACCACAGCAGGAAATGCCAGATATGTTTATGATCCTTCCTTTCCACGGGGATTCCACATATAATCTCTCTGCTCATTCATCACATTTCGTTCGGTGGAATTAGGTAATTTGGCCGAAAGCTGCGAACTTAATTTGGTTCAGGGTGGGAAAGAGTTGAGGAGGGTCAGGGGAGAGATATGATCCTTTCCAATGTTGTTGTTTGACTCTACTGTTATCAGCAGAAAAACTGGAGCAAGGAGGAAGAACACGGAGCTTCTTAAAGCAGCGGTCCTCAAACTTTCTGGCTTTGCGGACCGGCGGGGGGAGGGATGCTTGCCTGCTGCTCACGCAAGTGGAGTTGTGCGTGCACACGCATGCTCGCCCGCCACTTCCGCAGCCCAGTTCTGAATGGGCCAAGGCTTGGTACTGGGCTGTGGCCCGGGGGTTGCGGACCCATGTCTGGTTGATATCTAGAAAGCCGTAGTGGTGTTCCCACTCGCGATGCAAAAAAAGATGGTTAGCTTTTTTTCTATTTTCCAGTAAGATGAGTTATGGAAGATTGTTCCTTGGTTTATTATGAATAAGCTAATGAGGCAAACATGGGTCTTTCCCCCTAGTTTGATAGACACTGATTTAAATTCTGCTGGGACTATTTCAAGGAGACGGTTGCGTTAATCTTGAGCCATTAGGCAACGTATTTTTCTGTCCAAAAAAAAATGCATCCAGTCGCCATCACAAAATGATCCTCCAGCACACTTCTGATAGAAAGCAAACCCGCTTGGGTTTGTGTTAGAAGACTATCCCAACTCTGTAACATTTCAGAACAGGAAACATTTCGATAACATTTCCTCTTTGTTGCCCCTAACCCTCACCCTTCCCTTGTTCCCCAAATCCTCCTCATGCCTTGTGGTGCCAGCGCATCCCCTGCCTTGTGGGTGAGGCAGCTGTTTCTTTCACTCCCAAGCTCCCAGCCCTTGCTCAGGCCTTCACCAAAGCCCACCCACCCACGTCTGTGCACAGATCTCAGTGGGGCAGAAGGTAAGCTACACAGCATAAACTGGCTCTTTTCTGGACCTGGGGAAGAATCAGCCATCCAAGTCGATAAAACCACGATATCCTGATCTGACAGTTTTAATCTGTTCGAGGTATGGGGTATAAATGGCCAAAAGACAGATAGCTTACATCAGGAGTCTGCAACCTTGACATCTTTAAGATTTGTGGACTTCAGCTCCCAGAATTCCTCAGCCAGCATAGCATAGCTGAAGAAAAATAAGCTCAATGTGCGTAGGCTAAGCGAACATGTAAAACAGGGTTAGTCAACCTTGGCTCTTTTATGACTCGTGGACTTCAACTCCCAGAATTCCTGAGCCAGCATGGCTCAGCTTGGAAACCTCTCCCTTTCCCCTCAGCATGGCTGGCTCAGGAATTCTGGGAGTTGAAGTCCACGAGTCATAAAAGAGCCAAGGTTGACTACCCCTGATGTAAAACAAGACCGATTGGGAGTCTCACTTGGAAAAGGTGTTCCTGGCGTAGTGCATGATGCTGTCGAAATCGTATGTTTCGCCTAAGGACTCCACCTCTTCCGGTTCCATCTTCAGGAAGTTGTACTCCTGCCCTGCAGAAGGAACAAGAGGTAGAAGCATGAAAATGGCAAGATAGCTTAAAGCAGGGTTAGGAGATTCGGTGTTTTCCCTTGCTCATCCTGCTTGTTAATGGGCAGCCTCTGATTTCTCCTGCGTGATCCCCAAAACACAATCTGAGCCCATAACCCTGCATGAAGAGGGACCAGGTTACCTACAGAACTGTCTTTGTCCCATTCAATCAGCCCCTCCCACCTGGTCAGGCAGCGAAGGTGTGTGATGGACCCCGTCAGTCAAAGAATTACCACTGGTGGGGTCCAGGAAGAGAGCCTTCTCTGCCATTGCTCCTGCCTTGGGGGAACATTCCTCGCCCCACCAAAGATAGGGGGGGTCTCCATTCTCCGGCCTTCCAGAAAGATGTGAAAACATGCCTCGGGGCAGACAGCCACTGGACCGGTTAGCACTTTGAACGTCCTCCCTCTGCCTTTCATTTAATTTTAACATCGCTTGCCTCTTTTTAAATTCTATATACCGATAGTCCTTGACTTACAATCATTTGTTTAGTGATCGTTTGAAGTTACATCACTGAAAAAGAAAAGACTTAAAACTTAAGTCACGGCTTAAGTGTTTTTCCACACTTACGACCGTCGCAGCATCCCCATGGTCACATGAACAAAATTGGAACGCTTGGCAACTGACTTGTACTTATGACGGTTGTTGCAGGCTCCTGGGGGTCATGTGATCGCCTTTTGCGACCTTCTGACAAGCAAAGTCATCGGGGAAGCCGGATTCATTGAACAACCGTGTTACTAACTTAACAACTGCCGTGATTCACTTAACAACTGTGGCAAAAATGGTCGTAAAATGAGGCATCACTCACTTAACAATTGCCTTGTTTAGCAACAAAAACGTTGGGCTCAATAGTGGTCATAAGTTGAGGACTACCTGTATTGTTTTTTTTTACGTTTTTAATCTTTTATTTGTACACTGCGAGGGAGATGGGAAGTTTTAAAATATGATAAACAAAGAAAAGCTGAGTCAATTCTAGGTGCTTGTAGATATATAACTAGATAAGCAAATTCAGTTGACACTCTGCCAGTCTTGGGGTTCTTCCCAACTACAAAAATTCGATTCTTCCAATCTCTCAGGTAGGATGCAAGACATCTGGGAAGAATATGCAAACCCCAGGCACATGGAGAAAAAACATTTGGGGAAAAGGGAATAAATAAACTAGCAAGAAAGGAAATAAAGATGTTTGGAAGGGAATGGATGCAGGTGCAAGCGGATTTTACAAAGGGTGGATGTTCCCCAAGTTGGGAGCTTCTGTCTGGTTTTCATGCTTCATTTAGGATGCAAAAGAAGAAGGAGGAGGAGGAGGAGGAGGAGGAGGAGGAGGAGGAGGAGGAGGTTTTTACCTGGCTGGATATTTTCACGAAAAATGGACACGTGGGCATCCCGGTCTGGACGTGTGTGTTCATGCCAAAAACCTATGACGTGGCCAAGCTCATGCACCACAATGCCAAATTTGTCACAGTTTTTCCCAATAGATATAGCCTGGGGTCCTCCCCCTCTGCGTCCCACGTAGGAACAGCACCTGTATTGGACACAACTGATCATTAGGTTGAATGCATTACTTGTATAAAGACCACGGAAGTCTCAGCAGAAAAACATGGAACAAACTTTAGGGTTTTCTGCGCTCTAAAAAGTAAACATTTTAGAACACAGAATAACAGAGTTGGAAAGACCTTGGAGATCATCTAGTTCAACCCCCTGCTCGAATATTAGACATTATACTATTCCAGACAAGTGGCTGTCCAGTCTCCTCTTGAAAGCCTCCAGTGATGGAGCACCCACAACTTCTGAAGGCAAGTTGTTCCATTGGTTGATTGCTCTCACTATTAGGAAATTTCTCCTTAGTTCTAGGTTGCTTCTCGCCTTGGTTAGTTTCCACTGTTTCTCTTGTCCTCTGGTGCTTTGGAAAATATTTTGCCCCCCTCATCTTTGTGGCAGGCCCTCAAATACTGGAACACTGCTATCATATCTCCCCTAGTCCTTCTTTTCACTAGACTAGACACATCCAATCCCTGCAACCACTGTTCATATGCTTTCACCTCCAGGCCCCTCATCATCTTTGTTGCTCTTATCTGTACTCCTTCCAGACTCTCAACATCTTTTTTTTTATATTGTGGTGACCAAAACAGGACACAGTTTTGAAACATTCTCCTTTCCCATATTTCCTTCCCCAGGAGAAGTCACCCAAATAAAGATAAATACAAGTAAATATGTATGTGAGTTTTAAAAAGTGTATTCCAAAATAAAAGTAATTTAAAGGATGTTATTGATGGCTCTTAGAGCCTTTGAATCTCCGCTAGGAAAAGAAAGCAAATAATTTGATTTGTAAATTTAGTGCTATCACAAATCTAAGTTCAATTATCATGCATGGAGCAACTTTTTTTTTAAAGAGGTCCCAGATTGTTGGGGGCAACAAGCTGACTCTGTAAACCATTTAAGAGCAGGGGCCTTCAAACTTGGCCCTTTTATGACTTGTGGACTTGAACTCCCAGAATTCCTCAGCCAGGCACACATGCCTGGCTGAGGAATTCTGGGAGTTGAAGTCCACAAGTCATAAAAGGGCCAAGTTTGAAGACCCCTGACTTACAGAGTGCTGTAAAGCATTATGAAGCGGTATATAAGTCTAAGTGCAATTGCTGTTGCTATTCTTGAAGGAAGGATGAAAGAGGACTGGAATCTGCTGCTTGCTTCAAGTTTGCTTTTCTTTCTAACGATGGCGTCACGTTCTATCTGTTGCAACTAACCACTTTCACACGGTGCCATGGAGAGCTCAAGGGGACTGTGTTTTTTTTAAAGTCAACCTCAAAGTTAAGAGACTATTACGTAAGCAAGAGCAAATTTAAAAAAAAAACTGGTTAAGTTACTCTTCCTGGGATTCTGCTTCTTGGTTTCAAATCATTCCAATCTCTGATTCAGTTTTGGGAAATGTCCTTCCAGAAATCCTGACGGCATAAACATGCCTACACAAGAGACACTGGATGAGCAATCAACTGTCTTTGACCTTTGGTCCAATGTATTAAGCAATTGGCAATCTCTGAGACTTGAGAACATTGAGGTTTCCTCCTTCTTGCCAGAGGAAGACTGTATGCAACCGAAGGTCTGCAACTGGATGACGTAGTCTTCCTGTTGCTTACCCGCATGGCCTGTATGTAAACACAATGTAGCTATCCTCATCGCTTCGTTCCAAGAAGGTCACACAAGTATACTTCTCCCAATGGCGCATGGCCTGTCGAAAAATAGCTCGCTGAATGCCTGTAAGAAACAAAAAGAGACCCCAAAATGGTCAGAGACAGAAAAAGACCTCCACGCTCTGTTTCCACTGTGTCTACAGTTCTCAAGAACATAAAACAAATGACATAGATTCTTAGGAAGAAGAGATGGGCCACCAAAGGGAGCAAAACTCTGAATCATCTATTAGCAGATGACCCATCCTAACTCATGGCCTGGGGAAAAAGCCAGAGTTTATTTTAATTGGATCAGGCTGTGGGCCATATGAACCTCTGTGAAGAGATTGTTCCAGAAGGCAAGTGCTGGGATAGAGAAGTTCAAATGGCATTGTATGGTAGGTAAGACCCAGAGCATCCCAACTCAAGTCCAATTTTAAGGGTCTGTTATGAAGACACCCCCATGCATCTTCAGTTATGTCCACATGGTGATGGTTCAATAGAAACTCTAGGCCAGGGGTCTTCAAACTCGGCCCTTTTATGACTTGTGGACTTCAACTCAAATAGGTCAAAACCCTGTTTTGAAAAAAAAATATTCCAGGTAGAGAGTATGATTTCTATTTAATGCTACTATTCTCAGGCAAGGACTTGAAAATAAGTTCTTGAGTGACCACGTTTTGTGCTACCGTTTGTATGATGCGTTGTACCATTACTTAGGACCGAAACTTTATACAATAGTATTTTATTTGGATTTGTTTCAGTAACTATGTTCTTAATTCTTTTTATACGCCATTGTATTGTTTTTCTCACATATACATATACATAGATGATAGTGAGATAGAGATAGAGGTGATAGGTAGGTAGGTAGGTATATAGATAGACAGACAGACAGACAGATAAATAGATAGATAGGCAGGCAGGCAGATAGATAGAGTAGATATAGATAGATAGATAGATAGATAGATAGATAGATAGATAGATAGATAGATAGATAGATAGATAGATAGGCAGGCAGGCAGGCAGGCAGGCAGGCAGGCAGGCAGGCAGGCAGGCAGGCTATAACTTTTATTCAACATTTTGTTTGTATCTGGCCTTAGGATTAAAGTTGAATTGTATAAGATGATCAGAAAGTTCCGAGAATCGGCTGTTTCTGAGACAACCCACCCCAATCTGTCTATCTTAGGGACATTGTGAGCAGGTACATAAAAGACTAGATTATAAAGCACAACAGATATTTCACAGACTCATGAACAAATGTCCTTCAAGCTTCAATTCCATCTAGAAAAATACAGTTGTATTAAAAAAAAATGAAAGAGATGGCAGTTGCAGATTCTGGCCAGAATAAGAGAAATTTCTAAAGAGGACGTTCAGTTTGGAACAGCTGCATAAAGGGTCAATTTCAGCCTTGGCTTTTGTCGCCTGCTTCCTCTTTTCAATAGCTGCTCAACAGAAGATCAAATTGGGATTCAATGATTTCTTAATTGCTATAAGAAAGGGAACGAGAGAAAGAGAAACGAGGAAGGCCCAGCTGCAAACACTCCAATATATTATGCACTGATATATGAATATTAATTTTCAGGGAGTAACAATGCATCTGTCAAATGCTAGCAGGCAAAAGACATTTGCAGTTATTTTGCCTTTTTCTTCTATAATGACTCTTTTCTCTCTCTGCACAAATGGGGAAAGAGGAAAGAACAGCGGTGGGAGAAGACAAGAATAGTCACTAAGAGAAAATAATGATGTTAAGATTGTGCTAACAAAATTGGATTGTTACATCTTTTTACAGCTTACAATTTACATCTCTGGAAGCGCGCCAAGAGTCTTAAAACACCAAATAATACCCCTGAAATGGAGAGAAGCGATATAAAAGAGTTGGGTCAAAACAGAACCCATCACGAGTGAACATTTTAAACTCATCTTCAAATTCCAACTCACCGCTGAAATTTCCACTGATCACATACGGAATTACTCCGTCCGGCCACACCCTCTCCGGGCGGGAAGTGGCAGCCCGCCGACTCCGTGGCCGTGCCCAGCCCTGTTTCCATCGTCTCCTCTGCAGCCTTCCAGGTCTGATGTTGGTGCGGTTTGCACCTTTCCCTGTGACGAGACAACAATCCAAGGGATTTGTGAGCGCCGCTTCTTCCCCAGGGCTCAACCAGTTGCGTGAACCCAGATCTACTAAAAAGAAATTTGTGTTGATCTTGCTGAGGGGTAGGCAACCTTGGCTCTTTTATGACTCGTGGACTTCAACTCCCAGAATTCCTGAGCCAGCATGAGGGAAACTTTGGCCCCTTCATGACTTGTGGACTTCAACTCCCAGAATTCCTGAGCCAGCATGGCTCAGCTTGGAAACCTCTGCCTTTCCCCTCAGCATGGCTGGCTCAGGAATTCTGGGAGTTGAAGTCCACGAGTCATAAAAGAGCCAAGGTTGCCTACCCCTGATCTTGCCAAAAGTCATTTGATGATCAGCTTGTTCTGGGGAGGTTTATGGCCTTCTTCCTAAGTCCAAACTTCAATACACTGGATCTCATTGTCCTTTTACTAGCTGTTGAGGCCAGCCACTCAACATTTTCAACCAGAAAGCCTATAGATGAGGAACTGGTCTTCCTTTCTCCTGCAGTTCTGAACTGAGAATGGGAACTTGGTATGTGTAATCTAATGAAGAGAAGGACCAGGGGTGACATGATAGTAATCGTTCAATATTTGAGGGGCTGTCACTGAGAAGCGGGGGTCAACCTATTCCCCGGAGCACCTGAGGCCAAGACAAGAAACAATGGGTAGAAGATCATTAATTAGAGATCCAATCTAGCACCAAGGAGGACTTTCCTGACAGTGAGAACAATTAATCAGTGGAATGGCTTGCTTCAGGAAGCTGGGGGATGCTCCATCGCTGGTGGTTGTCAAGAAGAGACTGGATAAATATTTGTCCAGAATGCTATAGGGTTCTTTCTCTAGATTGCAGTAAAAGACTTCCAAGGTATTTCCCAACTCTATTATTCTGTATTGTATATTTATTTCCCCGCCCATCCTTTATCTTTTTAGACTCCTCTTGTTCATCTTCTTTTTCTGTTTTTTTTTCTTATTGTGGATCGTTGTTAAAATATGATAAAACCTAGCTAGCTTATTCGTAAGCAATGCATACTTGCCTGTGAAAACACAGTTTTCACCCAAGTTTGTCATGGCTTTGTTAAAACAAGGAGGAGTTGAGGAAGGCAAGCCAAGGTCTTTCTCTCCAAGTCCTTTGGTCCAACGGCTGCCACCGCCTATGAAAGCAGTAGCTGGCAGAAGATCCTCCCCTAAATGTCCAAGAATGAAGAAAACAATGAAGCAGTTCAAACCCAAGGCTGATGCTTCACAGCCCAGATTTCTGGCAAGCTACCACTTGGCTCTTGCAAAAATGGAGCTTTAGGGTCTGAATGTCTGCCTGGAATTCTCAGATCATTTCCACGGCCCACCCTGGCTATAGAGGATAAGCCATAAAGTATAGATGTACAAGAAGGACTGAGGGTGGAAATTCATTCTCCGAGCTTGTGGGTTGGTTTCCGAACGTTTTATTACCGGGCTAGGTAACGTCTTCAGCGGAGTTTAAGGGATGTCAGTGTCAGTGTTCTTCTGCTTATAAGGGCCTTGTGTGGTCAGTAAGTCTTGTGACGGGGAAGTCACATCAGGTGAGAGTTACGTCAGGCAAGGACTTGCAATGAGTCAGGTGTGGATGGCATCCATGAGGTGATGGGGAGGTCACATCAGGTGTCATTGGAAGGTGAGGTGCTGATGGGGGGGAGAGTTTTGCGTGTGTTGGTTGAAGATCAATGCCATTGTGATTAGTGTTGCAGGCTTACTCTGCTCACTGCCAGGAGTTTGATCCTGACTGGCTCAAGGTTGACTCAGATTGTTGGGGGCAATATGCTGATGTTGTAAACCACTTAGAGAGGGCTGTAAAGCACTATGAAGCGGTCTATAAGTCTAAGCGCTATTGCTATACTTGGTTCCCTTTTGGTCCTATCACTGCAACCAGAAGTCCACAAAGAAATCAGAACACCTTGTGGCCACGCTTGCCCACAATCCAACCATCACCTTCAAGACTGACAAAGCTGACCGTCCCTTTTGTTCAAAAGCCCACAACATCTGTGAGTTAAAACAAACAACAGGCCAACCTTGAACGCTTGAAGAGCGTGTGTGTAATTGCCAATTTGCGTGCTTTGAATACTATGGATCCCGTCATTTTTCACTCCTTTTCTCTCAGGGAAAGGCCACCTTGACGTAGTGACAAAGGCACCAGGCTAAACATCTGGAAAACACGGGTTCTGCATAAAGCCAGCTGGATGGCTTTGAGCCAGGCTTTCTCTCTCCGTCTTAGGAAGAAGAAGAAGAAAAGGAAGGCGAGAAGACACTTCCTAAAAACGTTGTTCAGAATACTGTGGGGACCTGTCCAGGTAGTTGCCAGGAGTCAACAATGACTCATAGGTACACATACGTATTTTTTTTTTTGGCAGACGTTAATCTACAGTTGAGCAAATGTCAATGGTAAGGAGATCTCTTTAGTCCCGGGAAAAATCCTTCACATACTTGTCCTCATTCTGCTAAAAAAAACACAGCTAAAAAACACTTGCCCCTGCTCAAAGATGGTAGGTATCTTTGCTCCTTTTGTCTTCTTCCTGGAGACCCAGGATCCTGCCAATGTTAGCGGTGGACGTGTGCCAGGACTGCGCCCGCTTTCCATTCTCCGCAGGAACAGCAGCTGAGCTAACAGTAGCACTGCAAATGTCTGCTTTTCTTTTCACAGGAACATGATGGATGCAACGCTCCCTTTTCACACTCTGTTTGTCTTTCCTGCAGTGATTCTTCTCCTCACTTTCATCATCTTTGGTTGAACCTCAGCGAAGGCCTTCTCTGCAAAGGTTCTACACAGGTTAGTCCTCGGCTTACGGCCATGCTTGAGCCCCAAATGTCTGTTGTTAAGTGGGACATCTGCTCAGCAAGTTTTGTCCCGTTTTACGAACTTTCCAGCCACAGTTTGTCAAGTGAATCACTGCAGTGGACAAGTTAGGAACCTGGTTGTCAAATGAATTTGGCTTCCCCGCTGACTTTGTTCATCAGAAGGTCGCCAAGGGGGATCACACGATCCAAATGTTTCCAAATCACTTAACAAAGGTTTCACTTAGCAACATAAATTTTGCACTCAATGGTGGCCGTAACTCAAGGGCTACCTGTATCTCCACCGCTAACATTATGAAGATTAGCAACCCTACCTGAAGTATTGGTAGCAGTTCTTACAACTGTGTGCCGTGTGAGGTCCACAACCCTGTCCACCTGGAAAAATCTCAGGTCCTCTTCATCCAAGGCGATATCTCCTATAAAGGCAGCTGGAAAACAGAAGGAGAAAAGGGACTTACGTTTTCAAACTGAGTGGATTTAAAAACTACAGTATTTACAGTACAGCACATTTAATGTACACCTTGCTGTTCATCAAACGCTGCTGATTCACCGCACAGATCGTGACACAAAGGCGGCAGTAAAGACCCCCTTTTAAACTCCACTTACTCTTAAGCACCTCTAAATTTGTGCTCAGGGCATAAAAAGGAATCTGGAGGATTTTCTCTTTGGATCTTGATGTCCCTTCGCATGTTTACATTTTTTTTTAATGTTAAATCAGTTAAAAACAAAGTATCTTTAAAGAAGGACTTCAAAGCAGGCTGTCAACTGACACAGAAAAAGAAATGCAACATTTTATGAACAATAAAAGAGCTAAGAATTACTCCGCAATCAGAGAAGGCAAAGAGACATCCATGGACAAACCGTTTTTAAAAAAATTGTGTTTAGAGATAATGTTAAAGAGATGCTGAACCAGGTGGCCCATCTTGTCCAGCGGGGTTTTTTTTGCTTAAAGAAGGGTAGAACTCACAGTCCCCCATTTTCTAATCCAGCACTTTAACCACTACACCAAACTGCCTCTTGGTGTTAGGGACAAGAGTTTAATCCTTGCCCCAATTCATTCTCCAAAGTTATTTCCCCTTTAAGATACTATCTAGGTTCACCATCAAGACTGCCACAGTCTTAAAAATAACCATATTCATGAACCGTCTTATGTCCTTGTTGAAGCTGGATCACATTGTAGTTCAAAAATTTCATCGGTCTCCATCTGCTTTCAGGAAGTTCATATGGATGTTTGCAGAAGTGTGAAAAAAATCCTAAAATCAGCTACCATGGAATTTTACTAAAGACAATGTCTTCTTAACAATGCTAATTGGGACTGGAAACTCAATCATTAAGTGATGTGGTTGTAAACGGAAAAAACATATGGCTGTGCCACTTAGCGATGGTCATCCCAGACGCCCTGGTTGCCATCATTAAGTAAGGATCGAGCAAATTATTTAAGTGAGGATCTTTCATGATTGCAACTTCTGACTTCCCACTGGCTTCCCCGTTGACTTTGTTTGTGGGAAGACAGCAGGAAGACAGCAAACTTCTCATGGCTGGCTGGGGAATTCTGGGAGTTGAAGTCTACAAGTCCTAAACTTGCCAAGTTTGGAGACCTCTGGCATAGAGGAAAGATGGCTACCATGATGGATGGTTCCTCCCTGTCTCCCCTTCTTCCATCAGCTCAGTTGGCAACTATCATGTTAAACATCTGGTCTCCATAAAGTCTATTGCATGTGCTAGAGATTTTTTTAAAAAAAATATTATTACATAAATTGTTTTAACCTCAAGCTTCTTTGGAAAGTTCCCTTTCTCAAACACCCTCCATCTCTTTCTCGGCACACCGATTTTGCCAAGCCAATCTGAGCTCATTTAATCCAAGGGATACTCAAATAACCTCCCATTCATCTGCCATAGAAAGAATCAAAATCATATGGTTCAGCTGAACGAAACGGATAACAATGCACGGATCCTTTGTGCCAGATTGGATTTAGTTCCTTTTCAGCTCAGTTCCTAGCAAATTCGAAATTCTGCTTCCCTCTCTGCAATCACAGCGCCAAAGAACCAAACATTCTGGCCGTGCATATACATTTCCACTTTTTACAGCCAGAAACCCTGAAAGCTGTAATTAAAACCAAACCGATTTTCACAAAATGCTTATTTTTGCGTTTTCTATCCGCACGTCGCCACACTTAAAGCCATAACGAAATCTATAGGACTCCAGGCAGAAGACAGGGGACCCATTCTTCTGAAAGACATTGGACCGATTAATCCAGGGACTGCAGATGCTTCCTAAGCCAAGGGTTGACCACTTGTACATTGTAAAAAAAAATATATTATCCCACGTCTCTAGGATGCAAATATTTGAACGCCTATCCCGGAAATAGAAATGCAACAAGTGCTGTAAAAACATCATCTTCACCTGACAAGATGTGAATATCTGAGGGACAGCTAATATTTGCTCTGTCTTTGTGCTGTAAAATATTGTGAAATTAAACTGCTGGCTTATCCATTGTGTCTTAATTGGCCTGAAGGGGAAAATGCTCAGAGGACGCCAAATCTTTGTACGGTAAGGAAGGGCAAACGTAGCAATGCAGTTCTGGAATGCAACTCATGAAAATGTCTGGAACGTGAAATGGAAAGAACGACGGAGAGTGAGTGGAAGCAAGCAAAGCATGGCTTTTGGGTACCTCGCTTCCAAGCTCCTCAACATCCTGGTTAAGCCATCTTCTCTCGGAAACAGTAGAGTTGCCGTTCTCTTCCACCCTACTCCCTCCCCACTTCCTTTTTAACTAGCTATTAAAACACACGCATCTATTCATCTGTTTATTCAATTTGTTTGGCCGTTTAGCTCGGCAAGCGACTGTGGACGGGGAACAGTCTTAAAATAAATTGAAAACAAATTCCCAGAAATAGTCATAAAAGTTAAGAAGGTAAAGTTTCCCCCTGTCCAGTCATGTCCAACTCTAGGAGGTGGTGCTCATCTTAATTCCCTAGCCGAGGGAGCCGGTGTTGTCTGAAGTTGCTTCCGTGGTCATATGGCCAGCATGACTATATGCCAAGGCACGTGGGACGCTGTTACTTTCCCACTGAAGTGGTACCTATTTATCTACTCGCATTTGCATGACTTTGAACTGCTAGGTTGGCAGGAGCTGAAGCAAGTGACGGGAGCTCACCCCGTCACGCAGTACTTGGGTCTTGAACTGCAACACTTTCAGTCATCAAGTCCAGTGTCTTAACTATTAGGCCACTGCACCCCACCAGAAATAATAATAGGGAATAGTAAATTAGAAAAATGAAGGATAATATTAATGAATAATAATAATAATAATAGGTGTCTTGGGTGCAATCCCTAAACAACTGGAGCACCACTTGAACACTATCAGCATTGACATAATCAACATCAGTCAACTGAAGGATCTGGGATAGGTCTTGATATATTTGGTAGAAGCATTCTTTGACTTGATTCTGTAATAAATCAGAAGCTTCCCCAAACCCCAAATATTTGTAGCTTTCTCTTGATGCTGCTGCCTTTATCAATTTTTCACTGTCAGTTGTATGCCATCATCTTCAACACTTTTGCCTGCCTTCATGCTATGATTATTATTATGACTACTTTAAACTAAGCAACTGAAATAAAGAACACCGGTCTCTCACAATATTTTCAACTGAGGGCGCCAAAATATTAGGAGGTTTTGTGTTAGCATTAGATGTCGGCCGCACAAACACACCCCCATTTTCAGTGCCGTGGGGGAACCTCAGTATCCTTCAGTCCAAAGGTTGGGAACTTCTACACCAATTCAAGCTGTGCCACAGATTTAACTTCCAGTTCCAACAGTTGAACTCAGAATATTTGGTCTGAAATGTCCCAGAGACACCCACAGTTTCAGCCTAACTTTGATAGTGAGCCTAGAAACGTTTCCAAAGAGCCAAGTTGGCAGAGCTGCTGCATGTGTGAACTAGCCCCTTGTTTCAGAGACTTCAAAGCGTTCGCAAACACAGTAAAGAAATAAGTTTAAATTTAAGAGATTTACTCGCTAGAACTGCCTGTTCCCAACCGAAGCAGTATGAAAAAGCGTAATTACAAAGCCATGCCTATGTAGAGAAAGAATGTAGAGATTCTCAGAGAAAGCCGGTTGATAACAGCTGTGCGACGAATTGACTGCTTAATCATCTGAGTTAATGCCAGCCACAGACTGAGCCTTCAAAGGCAGAGAATGAACAAGTGCTTCTCATCTCATCTTAAGCATCTCAATCCAACTGGTATGTTAAGACTTAGGATCTTTGAGCTTTTTAACATGGAAAAAATTGTAACTTTAGATTGAGGCACCCCGGGGACCGACTCTAACAATAATTTGCACTAGAGCTGAGCCAGAAATGAAATAGTTCAGGGAGCGGGGGTCAACAGCTTGTTAGTCCTTCAAGGCAGTCCAAACAAGAAATACAATGATGAAGACTAGGTTTATCTTTATTGTAAGGTTGCATGAACAGAATCCTGTATGTCCATTTCTCCCGCCCCCTTGCCCTTACTTTCCAGGAAGCTAGAGAGGGTCTCTTTTGAAATGTTTCCCACGCCCCTCTTCTGCTTCTGTGGTCTCAGATATTTTTTGCATGATGGCTGTCTAGTCTGCGGCTCTCCCTACCGTCTCCCAAGGACCTTCACACATACCATTACAACAGGAGTGGCAGTGAGGGATCACACAGGATGCAGAAGTGCCTTGATGGGGAATTCGAGGCATGATTAACAGTAGCAGAGGGATTTCATAAAACAGTCCTCCGGCATCTTAAAAATGAATGGCTTTATTGTGGCTTAAACATCTATGAACTATAAAGATCAGATAAACCAGACGCTATGCTTATTCGGCAACAATATAGACACATGGATTTGAGAGGGTGAATGCGGGATTACAAAGAGGCACAACACGTACGTACACATTGTGATTTCACTGCTGTTGTGAACGACCACTATGTTTACCCTGTGTACACAATACTGACTGCGCGTGCTACAAGGTTCTTTTTTGTGTATTTGCTAGAACAGACAAAACAGAATTATTTCCGCAAAACGGATAGGTAGTATGAGAATAAAGGATTTGCGTGGCATGCGTAATTTCACTGCTCTGGAATAATCTAGCGCTTCGCTGAAATATTCTTGCATCACTGGGGAAGGGAAAACAGAGAAGACATCAGCAGCACAAAGTACTGATGTTGAAATGGTTTCAGAAGAGCCAACACAATTACAGGTAGTCCTTAACTTACAGCCACAATGGAGCCCAAAAATTCTGTTGTTAAGTGAGCTTTGCCCAATTTTATGACTTTTCTTGCCACAGTTATTAAGGGAATCACTGCAGTTGTGAAGTTAGTAACCTGGTTGTTAACTGAATCTGGCTTCCCCATCAACTTTGCTTATCAGAAGGTCACAAAAGGAGATCACAAGACTTCCCGGGACACTGCAGCCATCATAAACATGAATCACTTGCCAAGCATCTGAGCAGCTTATACAGGTAGTCCTCAACTTACAACGGCCTTGAATAAAGTGATTTCTGACCGTTTTTCACACTTACAACCATTGCAATCAAAATTCGGATGCTTGGCAACTGACTGGTAATTCTGTAATTCATACAGACATAATTGAAACATCAAAAATATCCGCGCAATAAACAATATTTTATTTCCATGCCAAGGAATCATAAAACCCATAGAACTGCATATTTCTACACAAGAGGAATTCTGTCTAGACATACTGAATGTAGACTGATCTTTCCATCCCAGTCACCAAACACAGACAAGACCAATTACGTTACATATCCTCTTCGTAATAGGGTCAGAGTAGCCTTAGGAAATGCTGCTTTAATGCACACCTGAAGGGACACCTGGACTGCTACCCACCATCTCTAACAGAGTTACAAACAGATCCAGTGAAAAGTCAAAGCTGCCATTGGCGTCCGTGAGATGTTCCTTCAAACAGCAACATGGATGTTTCTAGTTTTGGGAGAAG